TTTCATCAGATGAAAATTAATTAGAGAAATTTGGAGGTGAAACGGCTTCGTCCCCACCATCCAGAAGAATTTTACTTAGAATAAAGAGATGGAAGACAAAGGTACTCTTCTCGTTTGAGTGGTTCTCAAAATGCCGTGGCTCACCGTGAGTATAGAAAAATCATACTGTGTAGGTCTTATTGCTTGTTTTTTGGTGGTAAAGAAGTGGAAACAACCTCAGCCCCACCCAAATTGGTCCACCCACCGCCACTGATAGAAACGTCGGGGGGAGGGGGGGGGGTAAAAATCGAATACATAAAAGAGAGACAGAATCAACAGGGGGGGGAGTAATAGAAATACCAAATACGTATATGAAGAGAGACAGAAACAATTAGGGAAAAGCAGCCAAATACAAGAAAGGGACACAGAAAACAACAGGAAAAAGAACTCAAATTATGATACAAAAGCAAGAGCAACAGCAACGACAATGTAGGCCTACCAACTACCAGTGAGAAAGCAAGACCAAAAAATTTTTTTTATATTTTTTTAAAAAACACACAACAACAACAAAAAAAACACAGGAGAATGGTTAAGAAGCAGGACCTATCCACAGGCGTCACTTCCAACTTCCAGTAAGGACTCGATCGTTTCATTGCCATCGAAATAACGTCGCCCCTCATGGACCCTAGAGTGTTAACAAAGCACTATAATAAACAGCATCGCCTCCCCTGTGGGTCGGTAAAAGCCAGGCAGACAACAATGCTCTTATCGCATGAGAAATGACCCTTGGGTATAACTATAGCCGGACCTCGAAGCCACGCAGTACATTATTTGGCCACACTACAAAAGCCGGTCTATGTGGTTTCTCAGAGAAAACTCTTGGCATACTTTCTCAACGGTTGTCAGTGTCCGCATAATTAGTTCCAGAATATGAACCTACACAGTCTACCAAAAGAGCATAAATGCTTCCTGTATTTTTATGCACACATTAAAGTTGAGAGTGAACATTTCACGGTCATGCGGCTGCATAAGCTGGCTTCAACTGTTGTAGAATGTTTGTAATTCTCGATGACCCATTGTGATATATATATATATGTGTATATATATATATATATATATA